TAGAACGCTTTCGGGCATCTGGTTATGGGCTTGGTCGTCTCACGGAGTTCTGAAGGCCCTAGTGCTACTGCTACGAGCTACAACGCATGTTGACATACCATTTCTGCGCATTGTGTTGCGAGACAGTCTCATGAATTCTAGAAAAATAGGGGATCCTTTCCCAGAAATGAATGATTAATCCTCAAAATAATGTATTCATCGAATATACTTGTATTTTTTGAAAAGCTTAGATAAAATTATTATGGAAATATTTTCTTTAAAGAAAAGATTTAGAATATTCTAAACCCCAAATTCTAAACCCTAAACCCTAAACCTTGTTCTAAACATTTTTTTAAAGAAAATATTTCCAGAACAATTTTTGCCTCTTAAATTTATTTATTGATTGTTCCAACCAATATTGGTCTTCCAGATCGAAAAAAAAGTAGTTCTTATTCAAAATCATTGATTGAAAAAAGACGATCTCTGATTTATAGAAAATTTTGTCATCGTCCCAATAACATCGATATCATCATAATCATCATCATCATGTCCCAGCAGTTCGCAACATATGAGGTTAAGGGCTTGAATGTCTAGGCCTGCATTAGTATCGGAACGGGATAAGCGTGGGGCGGGCGCATGCTTCCGCTGTGGACGCCGCGTGGTTGCGTTCGGCGCATCCTTTTCTTCGCCGGCAGCTGGAACAAAGCGTCCAACGATATAGCATCAAGAATCATTGCTCGAACAAGTCGCGAGCGTAAGCGATCCAACCCGTTCGGGCTGATACAGAACCTGCTGCAGAACTCGCCCTGGGATCCACAAAGATGCTTGTGCTGCTTATGGGCTGTTTTGGAGGCTTGGGTTGTTCACTGCTGTGTTAAGGGCAGGGCTTGGGACTGAGGAGTAGACTGGAAAACAGCAAGCTCGGCCACCCCAGCAACTCCCAAAGCCAACATGTCACATGTGCAACCTTTTCATGTATTTAGCCTTAGACGCGTGTTTCACTGTTGTGGAACTCTTTCTGTCCCAGGACCTTTCAACAATAGCGTCTGCTGCGCAAAGATCCGGCGTTGAACGAATGAACCCAACAATCCGAACCACACAATCCTTTGGTGATTTGAGGAAGGAGGTGAAAGGTTTTGATTTGGAAGCAATAGTTAACATCTGAAGATCTTTCAGCTTACCTGGTGCATAAGACTGGCACAGGGCCATGGCTAAGCCAAGCTGCAACAGATGACACAACAACCAGGGTCTTGCAGCACGATTCCGATGCCCAGGCACGCTGTACAATGCCTCTGGGTTTCTGCCTATAATGCAAAAGCATGGGTCGAGAAAGCTTCTGATGCTTGCGTTGTTTGGCAGGAAGTTCTAGAAGCCCTAGCAATGCGCCCCTTTGAGTTGGGTGTTGAAGTGTTGAGCCTCTTGTTGCCCGCAGATAGCGGCCGCAGCCTGAACCCCTTAACCTTAAGACCCCTCAATTTCTACTAGTTGCAAGCTGTCAACGATCTGTTAGGGACTGACTTTCTTCTCACATTGTGAGTGGGAAGAAACTGATGGTGAGTTTGTTGCTATCCAAGAATTTAAACCTTAAACCCTAAACCCTTTAAACGCTTGGAACATGGGTGTAAGACTTTGCGCTCTCACAATGAGGCTGCTCAGGTAAGGCGGACCGCAATCCTGCTCGTCTTTTTTGGGTCTGTTTGGTGGGTTGGGGTTTACGGTTACCCAGAGACTCCAAAACCCCTTAATTAAGGAATAGTCTCTGGGTAGGGTATAGGGTTTCGCATTTAGAGTCTAGGGTTTAGGTTTTTCGGGGGGCTGCTTTTGATTTTTCCAGAGCCGGTTTCAAGTCTTGCGCGGCTGTCGGGTTTTGTGAACAGTTCTAGCCGCCTGGGCCTACTCATGGCATGAGCCAGTTGCTAGGATTTGCGGCAAAACGAATTCGACAAGCCCTCCTGTTATGAGGCTCGGAATCAAAACCTTTAAGCAACTGCTGCAGGTTCCAGCGCTCAGAGCAGGAAAACTTTATCCAGTCGGAAGTTTGAGAGTTGTCAAGCTATCCAGCGGCTCCAGAACAGGAGTATTCCTTTAAATTGATTGCAACTGACACAAGTTTTCACAAATTTCGTGAGACCAAGTTCCTGAATACGAAAGACGGAAGGAAGCCCTGCATCACGTCTCCCAGATAGGCCACAAACTGAACCCTAAACCCTAAACCCGAAACCCTGCAAAACCCAAAACCCAAAACCCAAAACCCAAAGCCCAAAGCCCAAAACCCAAAACCCAAAACCCTAAACCTTAACAACCGGGCCCTGGGGGGTGGAGGCCTGGCTCCATTGCTCACGGGCCCATGTCTGCACGCTGCGCGGCGCCCGCGTCCTCCTCGTCTAGGAGGACCTTGAGCAAGAAACTGTTGAGCCTTGAACCCCTGGTTTAGGGGGTTTAGGGTTTAGGGTCTAGGGTTTAGGGTCGTGTGGCCTAAAACCAAACTTTGGGGCTACCTCGAGCTGCCTTTCCCTGCTTG